GTTCTCTGTATTTATGAGTCTCTGTTTCGTTTTGTTTGTTCATTTGTTTTGTTTTTAAGATTCCACATATAAGTGAAATCATACAGTATTTGTCTTTTTCTGTCTGACTTATTTCACTTAGCATAATACCCTCTAGGTCCATCCATGTTGTTGCAAATGGCAAGATTTCACTCTTTTTATGGCTGAGTAATAGTCCATACTACAACTTCATTATCCATTCATCTGTTGATGGACACTTAGGTTGATTCCATGTCTTGGCTATTGCATATAGTGCTGCAAGGAACATAGGGGTGTAGATATCTTTTCAAATTAGTGTTTTCATTTTCTTTGGGTAAATACCCAGTAGTGGAATTGCTGGATTGTATGGTGTTTCTTTTTTTAATTTTTTGAGGAATCTACAGTGTTTTCCTTAGTGATTACACCAATATACATACCCACCGTTAGTGCATGAGGGTTTGATACTAGGCATTCTGACAGGTGTGAGGTGATATCTCATTGTGGTTTTGATTTGCATTTCCCTGATGATTAGTGATATTGAGCATCTTTCCATGTTGGCCATCTGTATGTCTTCCTTGGGAAAATGTCTATTCAGGTCCTCTGCTCATCTTTTTAAAAAGATTTTATTTGGGACACCTGGGTGGTTCAGTTGGTTAAGCGTCTGCCTTCTGCTCAGGTCATGATCTCAGGGTCCTGGGATCGAGTCCTGCATCAGGCTCCTTGCTCAGCAGGGAGCCTGCTTCTCTGTCTTCCTGCCGCTCCCCCTGCTTGTGCTCTCTCTCTCTGACAAATAAATAATAAAATCTTTTTAAAAAAAATCTTTTAAAAGATTTTATTTATTTGAGAGAAAGAGTGAGTGGGGGGGAGGGGCAGAGAGAGGGAGAGAGAATCTGAAGCAGACTCTGTGCTGAGCCTGATGTGGGGCTTGATCCCACAACCGTGAGACCGTGAGATCATGACTTGAGCCAAAACCAAGAGTTGGATGCTTAACCGATTGAGCTACCTGGGCACCCCTGTCTTCTGCCCATTTTCTAATCACACTGTGGTTTTTTGGTGTTGCATTGCATGAGTTCTTTATATATTTTGGATATTTACCCCTTATTTAAAATATACTTTACAAATATCTTCTCCCATTCAGTAGGTTGCTTTTTCATTTTGTTGAAGGTTTCCTTTACTTTGCAGAATCTTTTTAATTTGATGTAGTCCCAATTGTTTATTTTTGGTTTTGTTATGCTAGCTGGAGGAGGCAGATCCAAAAAAATATTGCTGAAACCAATGTCCAGGGGCGCCTGGGTGGCTCAGTTGGTTAAGCATCTGCCTTCGGCTCAGGTCATGATCCAGGGTCCTGGGATTGGAGTCCTGCATCGGGCTCCCTGCTCAGCGGGGAGCCTCCTTTTCCCTCTGCCTGCCGCTCCCCCTGCTTGTGTTCTCTCTCTCTCTCTTTCTCTCTGACAAATAAACAAATAAAATCTTTAAAAAAAAATAAAACCAATGTCCAGGAAATTACTGCCTATGTTTTCTTTTAGGATTGTTATGGTTTCAGGTCTTGTATTTAGGTCTTTAATTAACTTTTGAGTTTGTTTTTCTATATGGTGTAAGAAAGTGGTCCAGTATCATTCTTTTGCATTTCTTTTTGCATGTATACTTTCTTTTGCATATGTTTTCCTAACACCATTTACTGAAGAGACTTTTTTTTTTTTTTTTAAAGATTTTATTTATTTATTTGAGAGAGAGAGAGCACATGAGAGGGGGGAGGGTCAGAGGGAGAAGCAGACTCCCTGCTGAGCAGGGAGCCCGATGTGGGACTCGATCCCGGAACTCCAGGATCATGACCTGAGCCGAAGGCAGTCGCTTAACCAACTGAGCCACCCAGGTGCCCTGAAGAGACTGTCTTTTCCCCCATAGTATGTTCTTGCCTCTTTTTAAGTGACCATATAAACATGGGTTTATTTCTGGGCTTTCTATTCTGTTCTATTGATTTATGTGTCTATTTTTGTTCCATTACCATACTGTTTTGACTACTGTAGCTTTGTAGTACAGTTTGACATCTGGGAGTGTGATACCTTCATCTTTGTTCTTCTTTCTCAAGATTGATTTGGCTATTCAGGGTGTTTTTTTGGGGTCCATACAAATTTTAGGACTATTTGTTCTAGTTCTGTGAAAAATGCTATTGGTATTTTGACAGGGATTACATTGGATCTAATTGCTTTGGGCACTAAGGGCATTTTAACAAAATTAGTGCATGCTAATCCATAGCATGGTATGTCTTTCCATTTATTTGTATTGTCTTCAATTTCTTTCATCAGTGTTTTATAATTTTCAGAGCACAGGTCTTTCACCTCCTTGGTGAAATTTATTCCCAGGTATTATATTGTTTTTATTTTTATTGTTTTTGGTACAGTTGTAAGTGTGATGGTTTTCTTACTTTCTGTTTCCACTACTTCATTATAAGTATATAGCCATGTAACAAGTTTCTATATATTAATTTTATATTTTGCAGATTTATTGAGTTCAGTTATTAGTTCTAGTAGTTTTTTTGGTGGAGACTTTAGGTTTTTCTTTATATGATGTCATGTCATCTGCAAATAGTGACAGTTTTACTTCCTCCTTACCAATTTGAATGCCTTTTATTCCTTTTTCTTGTCTGAGACAAGCATCCAACTGGGACTTCCAGTACTATATTGAATAAAAGTGGCAAGAGTAGACATCTTTGTCTTGTTCCCAATCAAGAGAAAAAGCTCAGTTTTTCAGTATTGAGTATGATGTTAGCTCTAGGTTTGTCATATATGGCCTTTATTATGTTGAGGTATGTTCCCTCTAAATCCACTTTGTTGAGAGTTTTTTAGCATGAATGGATATTGTATTTTGTCAAATACTCTGGCATTTGTTGAGATGATAATATGGCTCTTACCCTTTTTCTTGCTAATGTGATGTATCATGCTGATTGATTTGCAAACACTGAACATTCTTGCATCCCTGGAATAAATCCTGCTTGATTGTGGTAAATGATTCTGTTTAATGTATTGTTGAATTCAGCTTGCTGATATTTTGTTGAGGGGTTTTGCATCCACAGTCTTTGTTTTAAAGTCTGTTTTGTCTGTTATAAGTATTGCTACCCTGGCCTTTTTTTTTTTTTCTTCCATTTGTATGGTATACGTTTTTCCAGCCTTTCATTTTCAGTCTGTATTTGTCTTTTGTGGGTCTGAAATGAGTCTCTTTTGGGTACTATAGAGGTGGGTCTTTTCTTTTTTAATCCAGTCAGTCACCCTATGTCTTTTTATTGGAGAATTAAGTCCATTTACATTTAAAGTAATTATTGATAGGTATGTATTTATTGGCATTTTGTTACTGTGTGTCAACTATACTCAAATAAAAAAATTAAAAATAAAGTGCAGTCTGTATTCTAAGTCTCTTTTGGTGGAAGGAAGTATTACATAACTGAAAAGTGATCTAAGCTGGGCAAAAGGTAAGTTGCTGGTAGTAGCTCCTGCCTGATTACAAATACATACCTAAAGAGTAATTAAGACTCTTTTAGTTATTTCTTTTGAAGTGAAAAGCAAGAGCTTGCTGTCAATATATTTTAGAAGAGTTCCTTAATATTAACATTCAGGGCTGTCAAGTGAACCTGAATGGTACTCAAGTAGTATAAATAGGAAAAGACTAATACATTATGCTGATTGCTTTGCAAGCATTACCAACTAATTCCTTATAAGACCTTGTTAATGGATAACCTAGGGTCTCTTTTAAGAAAGAACAGTCAATATCCCAGCAGTGTTGCTTATAAGCCTATAAAAATCACAGTCTTGTACCTCTTGAGCATTAAACCAGTAACGATCCCTAAGAGAATTTTGTTTGTTTGTTTGAGAAAGAGAGGAAAAGAGAATGCACGAACATATTTTTGTGTGTGTGGAGGCATGCCCGAGAGCACGAATAGAGAGGGGAGGGGCAGAGGGAGAGAGAGACTTTCAAGCAAGCTCCACATTCAGCAAGGAGCCCAATGCGGGGCTCAATCTCATCACCCTGAATTATGACCTGAGCCGAAATCAAGAGTTGGATACTTAACCAACTGAACCACCCAGGCATCCCCCTCACCAAGAGAATTAATAGATGGAAAACTCATGTTTACTTTCAGTTAAACACTGAAATTAGGTTAAAGCAAAACAAAATAACAACAACAAAAACAAAATGCTTGGTTTTAGCTAGTTGAATATAAAAACAAGGATGAGAAAATTATTTCTCTTTTACTACATGGGTTCCCAAAATTCAAAGGAGATGTGAATTTATTAATAGTAGATACTAATTCAATCAACTTGTTCTTTTGTTTTAATAATTTAATTTATAGATTAGTCATCATAAAGTTTATCCCAGGTTGGACTCCCTCTTTTACCTAGCAAGCATTTTAGCCACCTCTCCTCACAGTTAGTTCAGAGAGCCTAAGGAATACAAAATTCGAGCATAAGCTTCAAGAAAATAGGTTTAGAAAGTAGGTAAAAGCTGTAAGAAAGTCACATTATAAATTTTAAATAAGAAGTAAATTATTTGGTGGTGTCTGAACCATCATTCTTTTTTGGCCTAAGGACGGAAGTATTAATATTTTAAAAATGGTTTCAATTAGAATTTTAAAAATAGGGAAATACTCTTTCTCCGAGTATACTTTGGAACCAGAAACAAGATGATAATTAAAAAATATATATCAAGTAAATGGCTTTAAATAAAATCTAACTTAAAAGGAAATTGTTTTGATTAATTTAACAAAAGAACGGCTTTCATTTTAATCATAAACTCTTTATTATTTGGCATTTATATACATAAGGTATATATTTAATAACTAAAAATTCTATACAAACTCTAGGAAAGTATTCCAAAGGTGAAATTATGATTATAACATAAAAAATAATCAAAATACATTAAAGAAGCATGTGATTCAGTGCCAAATTTATAATCACATATTTAATATGTCACAATCCTTTTGTTCCAAAAAATATTCACATGAGAACTGTAAAGTGGGCAATTACTTGCCAAAAGAATAAATGATATTCATTATGTAGAACATGGAGAGGGACACAATGCAAAATAAAGATTCTTCAGAATTTCATGATGGAATTGCTAGTAAGACAACAGAACCTGAGGCTACAAGGACCTGTCCAAGTAGAATATTTATGTTAAATATGCCTTTATTGCTTGCCTGGTAGAGGTGATCTGTCAGCCACTTTTGGTAGAAGGATGGCCCACAATAGACACCAGGAAAATTTTTTCGACCACAGCCATATCCATAACTGGTAATTCCCATTACAAAAAATCGTTTATGTTCTGGTAAGTAGCACATTAATGGTCCACCACTATCACCCTATTAAAAAAGTCCCAAAATACTGTTAGTTGCTTCTAGTAGTCTTTAAACAACAGTAAAGCTGGAATAAATTAATCACATTGATCATATATTTATATAAATACACATTTTTAATATACCCTCAAGTTATAAAGATCCATAGATTTTCAGTTTTATATTCCAACTCAGACAGGAGGCATTCCATCTGGCCCGATATTTAGAGGAGCCATAAAGCTGGTGAATAAACTTCCTATCTGCATTGTTTTGAACCAGAATTGTATAAGTCACATTGTTTGGATTTTTTATTTATTTTTTTTTAAGATTTTATTTATTTATTTGAGGGAGAGAAAATGAGAGATAGAGAGCACGAGAGGGAAGAGGGTCAGAGGGAGAAGCAGACTCCCCGCCGAGCAGGGAGCCCGACGTGGGACTCCATCCCGGGACTCCAGGATCATGACCTGAGCCGAAGGCAGTCGCTTAACCAACTGAGCCACCCAGGTGCCCTGTTTGGATTTTTTAGTACAATTACTCAGGAGACATGTAATTTAGGAAATAGTGTGCAAAATACTGTAAATACCAATAGAATACTTCTATCGCTTAATGCTGTATGTGAAAAGTGTAACTTTAAGATGGATAAAGGATTCTTTAAGGTGTGTGTGCATGGTTTGCTAACTAGAGGAGAGGAGTAAACTGGCATCTCGAAAGAGGTGGCATCTTTCTAAGTGTTAACATTGGCTGGTGCAGGGTAACAGGAATATTTACAGCCAGTAAATACAAACAGCCAGTCACAAAAGATTACATATTGAATGATTCTATTCATATGAAATTTCCAGAATAGTCAAATATACAGGGATTAGTGGTTGCTTAGGTCTAGGGGCAGGTGGGAGGAGAAGAATATTTACAGCCAGTAAATACAAACAGCCAGTCACAAAAGATTACTTGTCAAATATACAGGGATTAGTGGTTGCTTAGGTCTAGGGGCAGGTGGGAGGAGAATGGGGAGTGATTTGTAATGGGTCGAGGCTTTCTTTTTGGATTGACAAAAGTATTCCAAAATTAGATTATGATAATGGTTGCACTGCTCTGTAAATATACCAAAAACCCATTGAGTTGTACACCCTAAATAAGAGCTAAGGCTCTCAGTTCTATTACAAATCACAGATGCCTGTCCTGGTTTCTGCAAGACTGTCAATGCACCAAAACACTATTACTAAAGACATCACTGAAAACGAGGACATTGAGATACCGCTTTCAGAACCTAACGATTAAGGACTGTATTTCCAAGGTGTTTTCAGTTTCTCTATGTAAGGTAGGCATTGAATAGTTATTTTTTGATAATGAGGATGTTTTGCTTATGAATGCAATTCAATTAGATTAGATTCTCTACTGTTTTAGTCAGCAAAGTTTTTAAGGAAAAGGACACTGGAAAGATAAACCCTGGATTACAGAAACCAGAATGAGTGGAACAAGGTTAGAATATGGGGTACTGCTCAGGAGTGAAGTGCTGATATATTTAGAAGTAGAGAAGAAAAGAGAAAAAAGATTCAAACAGCACAAGAGACAAAACCAAAAAAAATAGATAAATTGACTTCATAAAAACTAAAAAAAAAAAAAACTTCTATGCTACAAATGGTAACATTAGGGAAATGAAAAGAGAGACCACAGAATGGGAGAAAATATTTGCTAACCATATATCTGGTAAGGGACTGGTATCTAGAATATATAAAAAAGGCTTATGACTCAAAAATAAAAAGATAAATAACTCAATTTAAAAATGGGCAAAGGATCTGAATAGACATTTATCCAAAGAAGATCTACAAATGGCTGGCCAATAATTACATGAAAAAATGCTCCACATCATTAGTCACCAGGGAAACACAAATTAAAACCACAATAAAATACCACTTCATACCCACAAGGATGGCTGTGATCAAAAAGACAAGTGCAGGCAAGGATGTGGAGAAATTGGAGCCTTCATATTGCTGGTGGGAATGTAAAATAGTGCAGCCACTCTGGAATAGAGTTTGGCAGTTCTTGAAAACGTTAAACATTGACCCAGCAATTCCAGTCCTAGGTGGAATTTCCAAGAGAAACAAAAACCTACCTACACATAAAAAATGTATACTCAAATGTGTATAGCAACATTTTTCATAATGGTCAAAAAGTGGAAATAGCTCAAATATCCATCAAATAATGAATGGATAAAATGAGGCACATCCATACAATGGAATATTATTCCGCAATAAAGTGAATAAAGTATTAATACATGCTACAATATGGATGAACCTTGGAAACATTATGTTAAGTGAAAGGAGCCAGTCACAAAAGATTACATATTGAATGATTCTATTCATATGAAATTTCCAGAATAGTCAAATATACAGGGATTAGTGGTTGCTTAGGTCTAGGGGCAGGTGGGAGGAGAATGGGGAGTGATTTGTAATGGGTCGAGGCTTTCTTTTTGGATTGACAAAAGTATTCCAAAATTAGATTATGATAATGGTTGCACTGCTCTGTAAATATACTAAAAAGCCATTGAGTTGTACACCCTAAATAAGAGTGAATTGCATATATGTAAATTATACCTCAATAAAGGTAGTAATAAAAAAAAAATCCAAGGCAAATTTTGTCTAAATTTGACCATGAAAGCAAGGAATCAGGAAAGCAAGAGGATTTGGATTGTCGGACTGTAGTTAAAAAGGAGAAAAAAGAGTGCAATACTTATAAACTTAATAATTAAGACTTCACCAGAAAGTGATCAAAGACCTTGTTGAAGTTTCCTTCTAGCTTTAGAAAATATTTCAAAGGAAAATTATTTGGTCTTACCCTGCAAGTATCAAAAATCCCATCTTCATCACCTGCACAAAATGAAGTGTTAGGAATAATTTTCCCATAACTTTGCTCAGAGTCGCAAATCTTTCGAGAGATATAATGCACTTCTGCTTCCTGTAACACATCTGTAACATTACCTGTTAACAACAACAACAAAAATACCAGTAAATGATTTTGAAGAGCAGGCATTTTGACAGTAATATAAAATGTTCGTGTTGAATAGGTTTTCTTTCCCAAGTGGCTCAACAATTACATAAAACTGTATCCATATACACATGTATATGCCTAGAAAGACTGTGGAAGAATGGTCGCCAAATATTAATGACCACTATCTCTAGATAGTTGGAATTTCAGGTTATTTTTGTTATCTTCGCTTTCCTCTGTTTCTTGAAGTTCTCTCAAGAGGATCTATGCTTTTTTTTTAAGGTTCACTTATTTACTTGGAGGGGGGAGGGGCAGAGGGAGAGGGAGAGAGAGTCTCAAGCACACGCTCCGCTGAGCACAGAGCCTCTGTGGGGCGCGTTCTCACAGCCCTGTGATCACAACCCCAGTGGAAACCAAGAGTAGGACCCCCAACCGACTGTACCACCCAGGTGCCCCAAGCATCTACACTTTTTACAAAATAAAGCTATATAAAAATTGTCAAGGCCCAAGGAGGTAAATGCTGAGATCAATCTTAGGTCCTAAGTTCTGAATAATTTTTTATTAAATTTTCTGAGAACGCTAAGTTTTGAAGGATGGTCTACATGAAAATAAAACAGATTTTTAATTCATATACTCCCTTCACTTCTCTGCTAATTCCTGAACATAAGTGGTTCTTTGCTACTGAAGAGAGGAAAATACAGGGCAACACTTCAGGAACTACTGAAGGACAGATTATTCTAAGATTTATCCGTAGAAAAGCTTCTGTAACAGCAGCATCTGATCTTAGCAGCCTCAGAGTTGCAGTTGCCACATGTGGTAGCTGAGAATTTTGTGTGCCCTGCATCCTTCCCCACTGTCCCCTTGGCTGTAGGTGGGTGGATGACTTAACTGTTCCATTCCTAGAATTCCATTCTCCTAGAACACTGATTGGGAGTATGTATCGTATAGTATTGTATTGTATTGTATTGTATTGTATTGTATTGTATTGTATTGTATTGTATTGTATTAAGTGTAAGTCTAGCCAATTGGAATGCTTCTCTAGCACCATTTTAACTGGAACTGCCAGAGGAAAACCTTGTTCACTGTAGTCACATGACTGCTTAGTTATAAGTTCAAAGCAGCTGCAGCCAAATTTGAACTTTATGACGACAGCAGCCTGAGAAAATAGTCCAAATGCAGAAAGAATAGGCACAGGAAATAGAAATGAAATATGTCCTAATGATGTTCAGATTCCTAGATAGAGGCTTCTTAGAGGCCAGCCACATTTCTGCGCTTTATTTAAAAATAATTAAAGTAATACTGGCAGCATATAAAAGAATATTTGTAACATATAAGTTATAGAATATAATAATGAAATGAACACCTGTGAACCTACCACCCAATTTATGAGTCTAAACAATACTAATACCAGTATGGTATTGGTGCAAGACTATTAAAAATAACTAGAGATTTTCAAAGTGAATAAGACAGAGAGCTGAGAAATAGATGTCTGGTTTTCTATTCTGTTCGCCCGGTCACTTAGAATATCCTTGCACAAATATAACAGAGACTAATTACTATAGATTTAAAATAAACTTTAATTTCTGGATGGCAACTCCTCTAACATATTTTTCTTCTGGAGGAGTGTCTTGGCTATTCTTGGGTCTTTTAGAATGAGCTTTTTAACTATCTCAAAACTCATGTTAGGGCTTATCATTCCCTGTTTTTGTTTTTGTTCTGTTTTGTTTTCAGTTTTTTCAGATAGAATTGACATCTTTACGACACTGAGTTGTCCTATTCAAGCATAAAGTATATCATTCCATTTACTTAGGTATTCTAATGTCTTAAAAATGTTTTAGGATCTCTTCCATAAAAGGCCTGCAATCTTTTGTTAGATGTGTTTTTTGCTACCTAATCAGTTTGGTATTATTGTAAATGTTAATTTCTGTTAACTTTCTTCTCCAACATTTTGTTATGAAAAATTTCAGACATAAGGCAAAGATGAAAGAATTTCTCAGTAAACAACTATGTGCCCACCTCCTATAGATTCTTTAGTATTTTTGTTTCATCTGTTTACTGCTTTTTAAAAAGATTTATTTATTTATTTATTTATTTATTTATTTATTTATTTATTTATTTTAGAGGGGGCAGGGGGAGAAACCGAGGGAGAGGGAGAGAGAGAACCTCAAGCAGACTCCCTGCTGAGCATGGAGCCTGATCTGGGGCTCAGTCTCACGACCCTGAGATCATAACCTGAACCAAAATCAAGAGTCAGATGCTTAACTGACTGAGCCATTCAGGTGCCCCTGTTCACTTTATTTTTTTTTTATTTTTTTAATTTTATTTTTTTAAAGATTTTATTTATTTTTTGACAGACACAGCGAGAGAGGGAACACAAGCAGGGGGAGTGGGAGAGGGAGAAGCAGGCTTCCCGCGCAGCAGGGAGCCCGATGCGGGACTCGATCCCAGGACCCCGGGACCATGACCTGAGCCAAAGGCAGACGCTTAACGACTGAGCCACCCAAGCGCCCCTCACTTTATTTTTTTTTAATTCTGTAATTATTTTGGCAACTCTTTTATTTAGATAAAATTTCAAAATTATAGAGAAGTAGCAGGAATAGTACAAGGAACTGTAAAATACCTCTTACTCAAATTCAGCAGTTGTTGACTTTTTGTCACACTTGCATTATCATTTGTACTCTGTGTGTGTGTATATAAATTTTTCTGAATCATTTGAGAGTGAATGGCAGACACTGTACTCTTATATCCTTAAATACTTTAGTGTATATTTCTTTTTTTTTTAAGATTTTATCTATTTATTGACAGACAGTGAGAGAGGGAACACAAGCAGGGGGAGTGGGAGAGGGAGAAGCAGGCTTCCCGCGGAGCAGGGAGCCCAATGCAGGGCTTAATCCCAGGACCCTGGGACCATGACCTGAGCTGAAGGCAGACGCTTAACAACTGAGCCACCCAGGCACCCCGTAGTGTATATTTCTTAAGAACAGGGACATTTTCTTCATAACCACAGTACATTTATCAAGATCAGAAAATTTAACACTGGTACAATACTATTAACCAGTTCATGTTTAATCTCCAAGTATTATTGGATTTTCCAGTTATTGGTTATTAGTTTATAGTTTATTGGTTTCTTTTATTGGCCTATAGTTTAATTTCATTGTTTATAGTTTAATTCCTTTAAATTACTTTCTGTCTCTAAGATTTGCCCATTCTGGACATTTCATCATATAAATGGGATCATGCAATAATGTGGGCTGTTAGGTAGAGCTTATTTCCCTTAGCATAATGTTGTAGCATGTATTAGTGCTTCATTCCTTTTAACGGCTAGATAAAATTCCATTGTATGAATATACCACATTTTGTTTATCCATTTATCAGTTGATGAATCTTTAGATTTTTTTTTTCTATTTTAAATAACACTGCTATGAGCATTTGAGTACAGGTTTTTGTGTGGACGTTTATTTTCATTTCTCTTGGGCATATACCTAGGAGTGGAATTTCTGAGTCATATGGTAACTACAGATTTAATTTTTTTTTTTAAAGATTTTATTTATTTTTTAACAGAGAGAGAGAGAGAGACAGTGAGAGAGGCAACACAAGCAGGGAGAGTGGGAAAGGGAGAAGCAGGCTTCCCGCCGAGCAGGGAGCCCGATGTGGGGCTCGATCCCAGGACCATGGGATCATGACCTGAGCCGAAGGCAGACGCTTAACGACTGAGCCACCCAGGCGCCCTACAGATTTAATTTTTGAGGAACTACCAAACTGTATTCCAAAACACCCGTGCCATTTTATATTCCCACCAGCAATGCATGAGGGTTCCAATTTCTCCACATCCTTGTCAACACTTGTTCCTAACTTTTGATTATAGACATCCTTGTGGGTGTGACATCTGTTAACTTTGAAAGTTACATTTCCTAACTATTGATAGTGTATAAAAATGAAATAGATTTTGGTGTTTTGGTTTTATATCTGGACATTTTACTAGACTTTCTTAATTCCAATGTATTATAGATTCTTTATTGTAAATAGTCACATCACCTATGAATGATGAGTGTTTTGTTATTACCTAAGTCATATGTGTTTTTGCATCTTTTTCTAGCGTTACTGCACTAGAATCTAGTGCCAAGAATGTTTGGAGAGCGTATTGAGCCATTCTATAGCTCTCTCATTTTTGGGGTTTTTCTGTCAAGTTTCTGACTGTCTTATCTAGGACTATAATCCCAGGCCAGTAGAGCTGTGGATTTTCCCCATTTGTCTCTTGCTGCTGAGTCCAATACTTTTATTGACAACTGCTAGCCTGGATTTTCAGCTGCTCTTCCAAACAGAGTTCACCTCCTCTGGCAACAAAGTTCTGTTCTTCACGGCCTTGCTAAAAGTACCGTACTGACTGATCTGAGAGAGGAGTTGGGAGCCCCCACAGGCAAGGAAGCTGCAGATTCCTCATTTTACCCAAATTTCTAGCTGTTTATGATAAATATTCCTCAATTTGTTGTGTACTTTGGCTGATTCCCAGGACCCTGAAATGATCGCTTTTGACGACTTTGTCAGTTTATATTTATTGGGGGAGAGGATTTGCCAGCCTCCCCATAGGCCGTCACAGCCAAAATGCCCATCCCTTCTGTAAATCAAGCATCATCAGAGTTCACAGTTTGTACATTACCTATCTTTGAACTTGGAGTTTTGCTTTATGGCCTCTAATAAGTGGTCAGTTTTTTTTTTTTAAGATTTATTTATTTGAGAGAGAGTGTGTGCCATGCAAGTTGGGGGGCGGGCAGAGGGAGAGAGTCTCCAGCAGACTCCCTGCTGAGTGCGGAGCTTAACTCAGGCCTTGATCTCATAACCCGTGGGATTATGACCTGAGCCGAAAACCAGGAGTTGGACGCTTAACCAACTGAGCCACCCAGGTGCCCCAAGTGATCAATTTTTATAAAGATTCCACCTGCACTTGAAAAAATAAAAGCCTCTGAATTTTTGAGTGTACTGATTTGGCTCTTAAATCAAGCTGGCTAATTACGTTGTTCAAATATTCCAAATCTTTACTAAGTTTTTATCCGTTTGATATGCTAACAATAAAAAGAGAGTTGTATTAAATTCTCTACAATCATAGAGGAGTTATAACATTTGCTGTATAATTCTATTTTTCCTTAATATTATCTGGGTCCTTTTTATCAGGCTCAGAAGTCTAGAATTGTTCTATCTTCTTGGTGAGTTGAACCTTTTCTAAATAAAAATGATCTTTTTTTATCCTTTTGTCTTAAAGTCTATTTTGTCTGCAATTTGCATAGTGATACTAGCTTTCTTTTAATTTTAATTTACTTGGTATATTTCTTTACTATTGTTTTACTTCAGTCCTTCCATTTCCTTACATTTTAGGTATCCCTCTCGGTAAGCTGGATTTCCTACTCCCTAATGTGATTTTCTGTCTGTTAATTAGTGGTTTGGTTCATTAACCTTTATTGTGATTATGGATATATTTGGGCTTGTTTCTACAGTCTTATTTTATACTTTCTATTTTTCTAACTTTTCCTAAGCTTATTTCTCCTTTCTTGATTTTTTATTAAGATTTTGTCTTTATTTTCTTATTCCGTATGTTTCTTATTCCATTCCAAGTTATATCCCCTATTTCTATTATTCAAATTTGACCATTCATGCTTAAATCTAATGTTAATCAGTATCTTAACACTTCTGAATAATACACAGATCTGAGATCACTTTAACTCTAATCACCCATTTTGAAATACAGCTTTTCCCCCAATATTTAAGTATCTTTTTTTAAATTCCATGAATTATACACTATTTTATTGTATTCCCAGGTTTCCCAATCTCAGAAATATTGACATTGTAGGCCAGATAATTCTTTGTTGTGGAGGGTGAGAGCACTACCCTGTGTATTGAAGGAAGATGAGCAGTATTCCTGGCTTCTACCCACCCTGACATAGGGCTTGATCTCAGGGTTGTGAGCTGAGGTTTTTGTGTGGAAATATGTTTTCATTTCTCTAGGATAAATGCCCAGGAGTGCGATTGCTGGGTAATATCATAAATGTATGTACACGTGTGTGTTTTTAAGAAACTATATCTCAGGGGGCACCTGGGTGTCACAGTTGGTTAAGCGTCCAACTCTTGGTTTCAGCTCAGGTCATGATCTCAGGGTCCTGGGACTGAGCCCTGTGTCAGGCTCAGAGCTCAGTGCAAAGTCTGCTTGGGATTCTCTCTCTCTCCCCCTCTGCCCTACCCCCACTCACGTGTGCGCAATCTCTCTCTAAGATAGATAGAAAGAAAGAAAGAAAGAAGAAAGAAAAGGAAAGAAAAAAGGAAAAAGAAAAAAGAAACTATCTCTGGTGTTTGGTGCATACACATTTAGGATTGCTATGTCTCTTTTGTGGATTTACCTTTTTTTTAAAGATTTTATTTATTTGAGGGGCGCCTGGTGGCTCAGTTGGTTAAGCGACTGTCTTCGGCTCAGGTCATGATCCTGGAGTCCCGGGATCGAGTCCCGCATCCAGCTCCCCACTCGGTGGGGGGTCTGCTTCTCCCTCTGACCCTCTCCCCTCTCATGCTCTCTCTCACCCTCTCCCTCTCAAATAAATAAATAAAATCTTTTTAAAAAAAAGATTTATTTGAGAGAGAGAGCACGAGAGAGGGGAGGGTCAGAGGGAGAAGCAGACTCCCTGCTGAGCAGGTAGCCCGATGCGGGACTCGATCCCGGGACTCCAGGATCATGACCTGAGCCGAAGGCAGTCGCTTAACCAACTGAGCCACCCAGGCACCCTGGATTTACCTTTATATCATTCTTATGTTCCTTAATGTCCCTAATAGTTTTATTTGCTCTTAAATCTACTTTATCTGATATTAATGTAGCCATTCCTGCTTTCTTTTCTTTTTTCTATTCCAGTTCTCTTTTGATGAATGTTGCCATGATATATCTTTTCCCATCCTTTTATTTTCAACCTGCCTATATCATAAAGTGAACTATGTATAGATGAACTATAGGCTGGGAGTATAGCTCTCTGGCTCCAGCTTTATGAGAATCTCCACCCACACACTTGAGCAGGCTTTGTTCTTCAACCCTCTCAAGGCCCATGAGACCACAGAAATTCATATGCAATGTTAACACTGGCAAATACCCTCAAGATAAAAGCCAACTTCAGTGCTTCAGTTACCTAAGTTCCCATCTTCACACTCAGTCCTTGACCTATGTATTTTCTCTTAATAGTTTTCACTGGGGGGCGCCTGGGTGGCTCAGTCAGTTAAGCGTCTGCCTTCAGCTCAGGTCATGATCCAGGGTCCTGGGATTGAGTCCTGCCTTGGGCTCCCTGCTCAGCGGGGAGCCTGCTTCTCCCCTCTGCCTGCTGCTCCCCCTGCTTGTGTGCTCTCTCTGACAGATAAAAAAAAAAATCTTTAAAAAAATTAGTTTTCACTGGGAAGGTTGGTGTGTGCATGTTGCTGGAGAGCAAACTTAATCCTTAAAACAGAGCTCTGACAGGGGCGCCTGGGTGGCTCAGCTGGTAAGCGTCTGCCTTGGGCTCAGGTCATGATCCCAGGGTCTCGCGATCGAGCCCCGCATCGGGCTCCCTGCCCCGCAGGAAGCCTGCTTCTCCCTCTCCCACTCCCCCTGCTTGTGTTCCCTCTCTCAGTCAAATAAATAAATCTTTAAAAAAAAATGAACAGCTCTCTGACGGGTATTACTGCTCTCATCTTACAGATCATGAATGTATGACAGTGTGAAAGATGATATAGTATAGTGGAAACGTGAGTTTGAGGCAGGCCAACCTGGGATTGAATTTTTACTCCTCACTTAGCTGTGTAATTTAGGGCAGCTTACTTAACCTCTTTATTTTATTTATTTATTTATTTTTAAAGATTTTATTTACTTGTCAGAGCAAGGAGATTTCATTTACTTGCTGAGCAGGGAGCCCGATGCGGAACTTAATTCCAGGACCCTGGGATCATGACCTGAGCTGAAGGCAGACGCTTAACCATCTGAGCCACCCAGGCATCCCTCACTTAACCTCTTTAAATGTGTTTATTTATCCATGTCATAGTACTTCTCATAGTGTTACTGGGGGCATTAAATGAGAAATTCATTAAGGTGCTTAGCATTTTATTAAGTACCTAGCCCTGAATAAATGGAAGCTACTCTGATCATTGTTGTCCTAATTGTTGTTAAAGGGTCAATAACTTGGGGTGCCTGGGTGGCTCAGTCGTTAAGTGCAGTTAAGTACGTTGCAGGGCTGAGATTCAGACTTAGGTCTGTGATTCTAAAGTCCATACTCTTTTCCCCACACATGTTGCTTTCTTAACTTGTTTAAACGGTATTCACAGAGGAAAAAAAGAAAAGTAATAATTCACAGATCTTTCACACATTTATCTGTATCATATCTAAATAATCTACACTTATTTAATTATTTTAAAAGTGTATGTATATATGTATGTAATCTCTACACCCAACGTGGGTCTTGAATTTCACAACCCCACGATCAAGAGTTGCATGCTCTTCGGACTGAGCCAGCCAGGTGCCCCTAATCTAAACATATTTTTTTTTCAAAGATTTGTTCATCCATCCTAGAGAGAGGAGAGGGAGGGTCAGAGGGAGAGAGAGAGAGAGAATCCCAGAGGGGAGACGGATGCGGGGCTCCATCCCAGGACCCTGAGATCATGATCTGAACCAAAACAGTTGGATGCCCAATCAACTGAGCCACCCAGGCACCCCTCTACACATATTTAAATGGCTAATTTCTGTAGGGAATAGAAAAAAGAGTCTCAGCACTTGATCTCACTAGATTTTGATTCCATCAAGAACAGTTTGTACTTAATGCAGTACTTCGACATTCAGGCTGTAGAAATAAAGACCTAGATTTGTGTTCTAGCTTCTCAACCTCTAAGATCCACAATTCCTGGTCTGTTAAATAGGAATAATGACATAAACTTCCTAGTAGGAATATTTTGAAGATAAAATAAAAGAGTATATTTAGAAAAGGACCTAAAACATGGTAAATGCTCCCAAATGGTTACTATTTTTAGAACCAAAGGCAGAGACTATTTGTTGATAGTTCATAATAGTTCAACCAATCAATAATTAGTGCTCATTTGTACAACTAAAGAAAATACACGGCACTCAACCTATTTGATATTAAACAGGGTATTAAATTAAAAGGACACTAAATTTGATTCCTTACAGCCAGAAGCTTATTATTTATGATAAGCAATCCTCTTACAGAGCTGGCTCTATCACCTCTGAATCTCAGAAACTACAAAAACACTTAGAATCATCATTCTCTCTGAGAATGTTTAGAGGTTAAAGTGTTTTAGCATGCATAACCAGAGGAAAGTCTCTATTTCTGCTTTGGAAGATAATTTTCTCTTTCTTTCTTTTTTTTTTTTTTTATAATTTTCTCCTTCCTACAAGGAAGAAAAAAATACAAGAAAAACCATTTCTTTTTTAATGGTTTATAAAGACCTATTGCTCAAATTCATGATATAAAGAGATGAATATATAAAAGGGTTCACCCTCTCCAATAATCAGGAAAAATGTATAAATAAAATTCAAAGTATAATTACCTCCTTCTTCTGTTCTTCCCCAGCCACTTATAAAACACTTTGTGTTTTGGTCCAGTTTTTGGAAAACATCAAAAGGCAGACAAATAGGCTGAATATAGTCAGTATACCTCACTGCTTTTTTTAAATGAAATAGTGCAATATCATTTACATAAGTTTCCAAATTGAAGTCTGGATGGATAATGATTGCTTTAACTTTCATCTTCTTGGAGTGTGGATGATGCCCTTTTATACTATTAGTTCCAATCACAACTCTCCACATTAAAGGATCTCTGAAAGAGAATAAATGTTATTATAAACATGTTATTTAACTAAGTAAATATTCTTAAATCTCCTAGTTTTTGTTTTTCTCATGTTAGATTAATAACAAAAATTTAATCCTACTTTCATGTACATGAAGTCACATCAAATAAAAACCAAAATATCATGATGGAGAAAAAGATCAGTGGGACAGAGGGTCCAAAACCAGATTCGAGTACATGAGATTTTGATATATGATTAAGGTAGCACTTCTTGCCAGTGGACAAAAGAATGAATGATTTGATAAATGGTATTGGGACACCTAGCTAACTAACTAGTTTGAAAAGTGAAATAAAATTAAATCTCTGAAAAGCACTAAACAGTAAAATAAAATTGAAATTGATTAAATGTTAAATGTAAAAAAATTTTTAGTATAAAATCTTTAAAGTCTTTACTTTTAAAGATACATAAAGTGGTATGTCTGAGATTTGCTTCAAAATAATTGAAGGAAGGAGTTGGTGAGGATAACGATGAAATAAGATCAGGCATGAGCTGATAATTTGAAGCTGGGTAATAGGCATATGGGAGTTCACTAAACTATTCCCTTTACTTTTGTAAATTTTGAGGTTTTAGAATGAAGCATTTGGATATTAAATTAGCATGAGAATTATAAAAATTAAACCAGAAAGAAAATGTAGATGAACACATAGCAATGATAGCATTGATATAAAACAGGAAGCAACTAATGGGTCTTGACAATCTTAAAAAAATAAAATAAAATAAAGAACTAGTAAAAAACCAAACTAAAAAATCCTTTGTGGGTCAAAATCAACAATTAAAACCTTAAGCATTTAATAGTTGTTACATTTGGAATTGGATTGGGAAGGAGGACCTTTTACTTTTTACATTGTTTACAAATGCTGAAATTCCTTTTCATTCTTCAAATTGGCAAAGTTTATGAGTGTGTGTGTGTGTGTGTGTGTGTGTGTGATGATAATGCTCAGGACAAACAGTCACAAAAACAAAGGGACTCTTATTCATGTGGAAAGTGTAAACTTTGGGGACCTTGGCAGCATGTATCAATAGTCTATAAAAGCTGCATTGTATTTTTTTTAAAGATTTATTTATCTGAGAGAGAGTGAGCATGGGGGGAGGGGCAGAGGGAGAGGGAGTGAGAGAATCGCTAGCAAACTCTCTGCTGAGCACAGAGCCCAACTGGGGGCTCAATCCCAGGACCCTGAGATCATGACCCAAGCCAAAACCAAGAGTTGGACACTCAACCAACTGAGCCACCGAGGCACCCCAAGTTGCACTGTATTTTATTCTGCAATTCTACTTCCTAGAATTTCTCCTAAGGAAATACAAGACATTTAGCTATCTTAAAAGTGGATTAGGTGACCTCTAGAAAGTTTCCAAAAAAGTTTTAAAGCCCTAGTTCTATTTTGTATACAAAGAAATCACTGCTTTAAGCTACTTTGAAATAATGATCTTTCTTTTCTTTTCCAAACTTATTCAACTTATATTCCTTATTTACTTCAATTTATATCAGACCATAAGATTAAAAAACAGGCTATATACACTGAACACTGCAAAACATTGCTGAAATTAAAGAGGACATGAATAAATGGAAAGACATCTCAAGTTCACGGATTGGAAGGCTTAATATTGTTAAGATGACAATACTACCCAAGGCGATCTACAGATTCAATGCAATCCCTATAAAAATCTCAATGATATTTTCTGAAGAAATAGAAAAACCCATCCTAAATTCATACAGAATGTCAAGGGACTGCAAATAGCCAAAATAATCTTGAAAAAGAAGAATATAGTTGGGGGACTTACATTTCCAGACTTCAAAACTACAGCAAAGTTACAGTAATCAAAACAGTATAGTACTGGCAGATACACCCCCTCCCAATGGAACAGGATAGAGAGCCCAGAAATACACCCTTGCATATGGGCTCAAGTGATTTTCAACAGAAGTGTCAAGACAATTCAGTGGGGAAAGGACAGGCTTTTTCAACAAATTGTGCTGGCAAAATTGTATATGTACATGCAAAAGAATGAAGTTGAACATTTACTTTACACCATATGCAAAAATTAAAATAGGTAAAGGCCTAAATATAAAAGTAAAACAAGGGAAGCTGGGTAGCTCAGGAAGTTAAACATCTGCCTTTGGCTCAGGTCATGATCCCAGGGTCCTGGGATCAATTCCCACATCATGCTCCTTGCTAGGCAGGGAGTCTGCTTCTCCCTCTGCCTGCCACTCCCCCTGCTTGCGTTCTCTCTCTCTCTCTCTGACAAATAAATAAATAAAATCTTTTTTAAAAAAAGTAAACAAAAAACTCTTAGAGGAAAACACAGGAGAAAACCTTCATGATATTGGATTTGGCAATGATTTCTTGGATATGACACCAAAAACATAGGTAACCAAAAATTAAATAAATAAATAAATAAATTGGACTTCTTCAAAATTAAAAACTTTTGTGCATCAAATGACATTATCAAAGAGAGTGAAAAGACAACCCACAGAATGAGAGAAAATATTTTCAGATTACATATTTGATAAGGGATTGATATCAAGAATATTAAAAGCGTTCCTATATCTCAACAAAAATCCCAATTAAAAATGGGCAAAGGATTTAAATAGATATGTCTTCAGAGAAGATATACAGATGGCCAATAAGGCCATGGAAAATGCTTAACATCACTAGTCATGTGTGTGTTTGATGTCATTAGAGAATTGCAAATCAAAACCACAGTGAGATACCACTTCACACTCATTAGAATAGTTATGATAGTGTAAGTGTAATAGTGTAAGTGTAAGTTTTTCTAATCAGTGTGGAGCATTGGGAGAAGAAAAAATTTAAGAGATACTGCACAGAGAGAGCTAATTCCCTGGGTAACGGAGCTGTTGGTGATGCCGTTACCTGAAAGAATAGAGAATGAATAGGATTGGAGGAAAGATTTTTGAATACATTTTCCAACTTGTTGAGACTGTGACTCTAGTATAAATGTATAGTAGGGGGGCGCCTGGGTGGCTCAGTCACTAAGCATCTGCCTTCGGCTCAGGTCATGATCCCAGGGTCCTGGGATCGAGTCCCACATCGAGTCCCACATCGGGCTCCCTGCTCGGCAGGAAACCTGCTTCTCCCTCTCCCACTCCCCCTGATTGTGTTCCCTCGCTCGCTGTGTCTCTCTCTGTCAAATAAATAAATAAAATCTTTTAAAAAAAAATGTATAGTAGGGAGCTAGAAATATGACTCAGCTGGAGAGACTTGGGAGTTTCCAGCACACGGTGCTCACTGAAACAGAAGTAGGTGAGACATCTCTAGGAGAGCATGGATGATGAGGCAAGAGGATGGGAGTGGAAAATGTTGCCATTAGATGATGATGAAGACTCATCAAGGAAAAGGAGAAAATCAGAAGTGACTTAGAAATCAAGAAAAGAGATAGCTTCAAGGAGAACAGTGGCCAACTTTGTCACATGTTATGAAGATCCAATAGGATGGGGAATGAGAAGAGGTCATTGGATTTGGCATGAAGGTGGATCTTTAATAGTGTGTTCTGAGCACAGAAATCAGACTGCAATTGGCATTTTATAAGTCAGTGCAGATGAAGCAAAAGGGAGTTTCCCAAAAGGAAGGGAAGAAAGGAAATGGTAGGGTTCGTTGATAGGTGGTAAGGCAGAAACCAGAGAGAAGATTGAAAAATAGTAGAGACAGTGAGGTACAATACAACAGCATAGGTTGAAGCACCAGGTTTAGATCAGGGGGCTGCTATTGAACAGCAGTGTGATCTTGGGCAAGTTACCAAATCTCCCTCATCTCTGGATTCCTCGAGTGTAAAACAGAGATGATAATAGCTATCTCAGAGAGCTATCTCAGATAATAGTTACTCAGAGAGTTACTGGGAGGGTTTTTTTTTTTGTTTTTAGGGATTTTATTTATTTGAGAGAGCGTGAGGTGGAGGGGTGGAAGGAGAAGGAGAAATAAATGCACTGCTGAGTAGTGAGCCCAAAGCGGGGCTCAATCCCAGGACCCTGGGAATCATGACCAGAGCTGAAGGCAGACGCTTAACCGACTGAGCCACCCAGGCACCGCAGGGCTTTTTTTTTTTTTTTTACACAGAATTATATGTAATGTCCCTAGTACCTAATCTCAGAGCAAGTCTTTGATAAATGGTTGTTCTAAGAAGGAAAAAGGGATAGTTGATAGTGCAAGGTTTAAGAAATGAGGGGGACTGGAACAGAATATGGCAAAGTTAGTCCTCTGACAGGATGCTTCTGAAAAGTAGAGAATATGCCTCCGTACTGTCTACTGCTTCAGCACCTAGACCAGTCCCTAGCATATAACATACATTCAGTAAATGCTGAGTAAAGGAGTAAAACATTAATAAGATTTAGTCTTGAGAAATGTTAAGTGGAATATGACATGATCTTCAAATGCTTGGAAGAGGAATTGGGTTACATATATATATATGGCTTGAGAGCAGATAAAAAAAACCAAGACACTTATTTCAACATAAGAAAAGCTTCCTAAGCATTAAAGCTGTCCAAAAATGAAATGATATTCTTCCCAAGGTAGCAGTCCATCATCACAAGAGATGTTTCAAGTGGAGAGCCATATGGTATAGTTGTAGTTATATGTGTGGGTTTTCATTCTGGCAAACCTGGATTTGATCCCTGACTTTGTTGCACTCCAGCCATGAGCAAGGTACATAAGAATGCTTAAGTCTGGGACACCTGGGTGGCTCAGTTGGTTAAGCGTCCGCCTTCGGCTCAGGTCATGATCCCAAGGTCCTGGGATTGAGTCCCACACCAGGCTCCTTGCTCAGCGGGCAGTCTATTTATACCTCTGTGCTCTCTCTCTCTCTCAAATAAATAAATAAAATCTTAAAATAAAATCAAGATAGCATGTTAAGGGTGCCTGGCTAGCTCAGTCAGTGGAGCGTGGGACTCTTGATCCTGGGGTCATGAGTTCAAGTCCCATGTTGGTATAACTTCTACCTAAAAAAATAAAATAATAAAATAAAAAACAGCATGCTATATAAGCATTGTAAAACACCCCTGAAAGAACAGAATTGATTCCTAACTCTGAAACTTGTCTCCTAGATCTCTTTCTATACCCTTGGTTTATACCTTAGTATCTTACTATTTTTCTACCTCTATTCCTCAGAAGGTCAGTTTATGGAACTGAAATGCATGTTTGAAAAATGCGTACAGGGGCACTTGGCTTGCACAGTTGGTAGAGCATGAGGCTCTTGGTCTCAGGGTCATGAGTTCAAGCCCCATGTTGGGTGAAGAGCTTACTTTAAAAAATGTAGTATACAGACTAAAACCTTATGTACTCCATCAGGCCAGTTGCCCTCGATTGAATTTTTTTTTTTAAAGATTTTATTTATTTATTTGACAGAGAGACAACAAGAGAGGGAACACAAGCAAGGGGAGTGGGAGAAGGGAGAAGCAGGCTTCCCGCTGAGCAGGAAGCCCGATGTGGGACTCGATCCCAGGACCTGGGATCATGACCTGAGTGGAAGGCAGACGCTTAACGACTGAGCCACCCAGGCACCCACCCTCAGTTGAATATTGAAGTTGTCAGTTCCTCTTAAAGACTTTTCATTCTTCTCCAAGATAGCTGTTCTCTTAAAAATTAAAGACAGGTACCATGGTTTCCCAAAGGATTTTTCTTAGAGCTTCATATTAAATGGTTAGGAGGGTCATAAAGTTCTATTCTAACTGTGGTAAATCCTATTTCTCTAAGACTGACATCATCCACAGAATCTGTAAACATTTATTATGTCTTCTATTAAGTAGGCCAAGTCCTATATTACAAGGAATACAAAATAAAACATGTAGCCCTTGTTTTTAAAAACTAATGATCCAGGGGTGCCTGGGTGGCTCAGTCAGTTAAGCGTCTGCCTTTAGCTCAGGTCATGATCTTGGGATCTTGGGGTCCTGGGATCAAGCCCTGCATCCAGCTCCCTGCTCAGCAGGGAGTCTGCACGCCTCTCCCTCTGCCCCTCCCCCCACTCATGCTCTTTCTCTCTCTCTCTCTTTAATAAATAAATTCTTTAAAAAAAACCACCCATGATCCAATGGTGAGAAAGAAAAACACATGGTTACAATATAATAATTTTAAAAGTTAAAGAAATCATTATTATTTAAAGCACAGTCTGACAAATTCCAACCCAAAGGCCAAATCTGACCTCTCTCCTATTTTTGTATAGCCCATGAGCAAAAAAAAACGTTTTTTATGCTCTTAGATGGCTGGGGAAAAAAAAAAGTATTTTGTTCAAATTTCTGTGTTCATAAAATTTTATTGGATCACAGCACACTTATTCAATTGTATTGTCTATGGCCACTTTGGTTCTATAGTGGCAGGGTTGAGTTGTGACAGAGTCCCTAACATTTTTACTACCTTTACAGAGAGTATGTTGACCTCTGATTTATAGGATTCATTTCAACAAACAGTGTGCTAGGGTAAAGCATTATGGCTACTTGTAAACACACAGCTTAACTGAACATGGCTGAAATCAAATGGTCCTCTACTACTTCAAAATATCCCCCAAGAGAATAAAATAGGAGTTGTGTTCTGAATACATACCTAGTGTCCTTAGTGCAGTGGGCAGCTGTGAGGACCCACTTATTTTTCACTAGGCTTCCCCCACATATATGAGCCAGAATTTTGCCTGATTGAATCTGCAGGCTAACTACCCATGGCCACGCGCCAGTTTGAGCTGTTGTGCCCCCTATTATCCGAGACCCTTCCAATACATCTGCAAGTGGTGCTGTCCCACAATCTAAAAGTAAAAATCATATTATTTGTACTGAACATCTAATGATATGTATTCCTAATCTTAACATACTAATATAATCTTTTAGATTCCTATTTAAAAAACAGATAGAGCAATCTGTATACCTAAGGCATGCCCATATTTTGGAAAAAAAAAAATCTTAAAGGAGAGTTAAGACAAACATGCCTTAAATGATCACTACAAATAGAAAGGCATTAATTAAATCAACACAGTTCGTTAATTTTAAAACTCTATTCCCCCAAAATATAAAAATGAGGTAAGTTTCTCTGACCCGGTATCATGTTGTTGCCCATGCAAAATGGCAATTAAAGAGCCTGGGACTGGTGAATCAAGAGCTACAAGTTCTAATATTTGCCATTTGACTTGCTGGGTGAATTTTTCTCAAGTGTAGTAGGACAAGGTCACCTACCAGCCTTTTCAACTCTGAATTCCACTGAATTATTAATCTTTAAAATGGGAATGACACACCTCAATGTTTTGAGCATACAGAACTGCGCTCCACAAGCGTATGGCATTTTTGCTACAATGACTACTACACCGTCATAATTAATCGGACTGCGTAGGTCTGTACATTTTAAAGGCAGTTGGGACAGCAGAAAAGGAGGGAGCCAAATTCAAACACTATAGAAGTGGGGAGCACACACGGGAGGCTGTTGAAAGAGAGGAATGAATGGATACTGCCCTCTGCGGCCTCTGCTCCCTCCTCCAGGGCTTGGAGCGCCTTCCGCCTCCCTTGCCCGGCCTCCCGCCACCCCGGTGCACCGGCCTGCTCCCGCCAGGAGCTGTGCCCAGTCCTTTCCGAAAGTGAGTCGAGTCCGGAGTCCGGGAGAGCGCTCCCCACGAACAGCAGCGCGGCGCTCAGGAGCCCCAGCCCCATTTGGGAACTCCTGCTGGGCAAGATGGCGGCAGCCATTGGCCGCCGGCCTGGGCCGCGGAGCACGGCCTAGGAGACGAGGTGTGCGGGTGGCCGTGTGGTGCGGAAGGGCCAAGCACGCGGAGGAAGCCAGGGGCGTGGGGGCGGGAGGCCTGGGAGGCTGGCCCAGTTGCCCGGATGCGTGTGGCCTGTGGACGGTGTTCTCGTTGGCGGCCACTCGTTGGCGGCCACTCGTTGGACCGAAGCGCGTGAGGAGTCCTGCGCCCGGCCGGCGTCGGAGTGCTAGTTAATGGGCCAGATCCACAGGCCCGTACAGTACAGTTGGGCTTTTGTGCTGGGAGGGGGATGCAGAGCCACTGGGCCCTGCTAGCTCAGACTTGTAGGGCCTGGAAGGCTTCCAGAAGTAAGGGCATCTAAAGCGAGGCACGTAAGCTGGGGAGGGGAGACAGAAAGCAGAAGAAAAAGCAAGTGCATAGGTTGGGATCTGAGATGAGATAGGCACCCAGGAACCCAGATTCTGTGATAGAGATCCATCTCGTTATTGTTTTGTAGTAGTTTGTCTTCAGCCCGTCACGTCAGGGTGAGCTGATAAAATCAAATTGAAGGACCTGCAAAGTTAAGGACAAAAGCTGACCGATGGTAACTGCATGTGCTCTAGCTCTTTTGCTCTCTCTGTTTCTCCCCCTTCAGTCCCTAGCCTGAGAGTTGAATTATTCCTGGCCCCTGTCAGAACCCCTGAGAAGCCCTTTGACATTCCAAACACTGTGGGGAGAGGACAAGGATTAGTGGCTCCAGTTAATTGATCCATTGAACAAGTGGGTATTAACCTCACACTCTGCACCCACGCTGAAATAAATATCATATCACAGGAGGGGTGCTAAGACCTGGCCCTCTTGAGGCTCCTGGGTGGTTCAATGGGTTAAGCATCCAACTCATTTTCTGCCCAGGTCATGATCTCAGGGTGGGGAGATGGAGCCCCGCGTTGGGCTCTGGGCAGGGAGTAGAGCCTGCTTAAGATTCTCTCCCTCAGGGGCACCTGGGTGACTCAGTCCTTGAGCGTCTGCCTTGGGCTCAGGTCATGATCCCAGGATCCTGGTATCGAGTCTTGCATCAGGCTCCCTGCTCCGCGGGAAGCTGGCTTCTCCCTCTCCCAGTCCCCCTGTTTGTGTTCCCTCTCTCGCTGTGTCTCTCTCTGTCAAATAAATAAAATCTTCAAAAAAAAAAAAAAAAAAGATTCTCTCCCTCATCCTCTGCCCCAACCCCTCCTCTTAAAAAAAAAAAAGAGAGAGGGCGCCTGGGTGGCTCAGTTAGAACTGCCTTCAGCTCAGGTCATGATGCTGGAGTCCCGGGATTGAGTCCCACATCGGGCTCCCTGCTCAGCAGGGAGTCTGCTTCTCCCTCTGACCCTCTTCCCTCTACGTGCTCTCTATCTCTCATTCTCTCTCTCTCAAATAAAGAAATAAAATCTTAAAAAAAAAAAAAAAGAGAGAGAGAGAGAGACCTGGCCCTCTAACCCAGGGAACATTAGAACTTGGCTAGCAGAGAAAATTACTTGGGGGACAAAGTAATAAACCACGACACCTAAACCTAATACAAATTCAGACACAAGGGATTGGTGTGGGCTGTGGCAGTCTGGGAAGTTTCCCCCAAGGAGGGGGTTGTGAGCTGGGCCTAGACTGAGGGGGAGGATCAAGAAGAGGAAGGAGATGTAGTGAAGACCAGCCAGGCTAAAGGTACAGCATAAACAAAGGCATGGATATGTATCCATGTTTGTCCAGAGAAACAGAACCAATAGGCTACGTAGAGATATATAAGATATTTATTATGGAGGGGCGCCTGGGTGGCTCAGTCGTTAAGCGTCTGCCTTCGGCTCAGGCCATGATCCCAGGGTCCTGGGACTGAGCCCCGCATCGGGCTCCCTGCTCAGCGGGAAGCCTGCTTCTCCCTCTCCCACTCCCCCTGCTTGTGTTTCCTCTCTCACTGTGTCTCTCTCTGTCAAATAAATAAAATCTTAAAAAAAAAAAAAATTCATTATGGAAACTGGTTCATGCAATTGAGGCTGAGAAGTCCCACGATATGCCATCTGAAACCCAAAGAACTAGGAAAACCAGTAGTTTCAATCAGTCCCAATCCGAAGGGCTGAGAACCAGGAGCTCTGATGTGGGAAGACAGGAGAGATGGACGTCCCATGTCAAGGTGAAAGGGAGAATTTACCGGCCCTCTGTCTTATTGTTCTATCTGGGCCCTCAGTGGACTCTATTGAATGACATGTGTATACACTGGTGAGGGCAGATCTTCTTTCCCTCCGTCTTTGGATTTAATGCTAATCTCTGAACAGAAACACTCTTACAGACACACCCGGAATTAATATTTTACCAGCTATCTGGGCATACTTTAGTCAAGTTGATACATAAAATTAACCCTCACAGTAATAGTAATGTAGTGTGTGTGTATGATCTTACTATTGTTTTTACTGTTTTCTACTATAGAGACAAAAGAGAGAAGCCATGCCTTAAAAATTTCCATCAGGATATGTAAGAGAAAAAATTAAGTTAAAGGCTTCTTCCTGGTTTTGTATTTGATTTGATTCTGTTTTGAGTCCAGAATCAACATGTGTGCCCTTCTTCCCTTTAGCAGAGTCATTTAATACGGCTTTTAGATATGCAGGAGTAAGCCTTGAACCTGCTTCCTACTTAGGGGTAAGGGCATTTATTGCTCAGCGTAACTAAAGAGAAATTTTTCAGTGTGCAAAGGAAGCTGGGGAAGAGGGAGGAGAGAAGCAGGCAGCCCAACAACATGGCAGAAGGCCAGGCCTGAGCCAGAGAGAGATCTATGAGAGTTTCACAGGGTTAGGTTGATGCAGGCTTTTTAAGAACAGTGATGTCTAATGTTTGGTTTTAAATTGTTTTATCGTTGCTATCCTGAGCTGTGCTGAAGGTTGCTTCTGTTAACCCCACACCCTCGGGGACAAGGGAACAGTGGTAGTCTAGGCGGTTGGTCACATGATGGGGAATTAAAGCAGGGGTCGGCAACAGGACAGCTGCCATGCCCATATCATCTCTCAGAGGTCATCATGGTTGGCAGCATTAAATCAAAGGAGGCTATTAGTTGGGGCTTACAGGTGGTAACACGTGGTAAAGGGAGCAGATCAGGGCAGGGCTGTGCAGAAATCAGTGGGTGAGAAGTAGGCGGTAGTGGAGGGAACAATTTGCAGCTTGGACTGACCCATGGGCAGATAACAAACAGATTTCTGTTCCCCAGATATTTTAGTGGAAGGTGATACTTGAAAGGGGAGAGATACAGTTGGGGTGTGTTTCTCTGCGGGGGTGATCACATGATCAGATTGGGAATAGATGTGAAAGCAGGTCAAATGACAGGTCTTACTGGGACAGAGATTTAACAAATTTCTTTGACATATTCTGATCAAAGACAGGTGCATGTAGCCAAGTCATGAAAGGGCACTCAAAAATGCAGTGGACCAGTAACTGCAGAGGTCCTGTGCTTGGATTTCCTCTGCATTTTCTAGATCTTCACTCTTCTCTCCTGTATTGTCACTTCCTTTCTTTGTGGGATGACTCCCATCAGCGGAAGAATATCCTCGGTGGGGGGTGTAGGCAGCCTCCCAAATTACCTCCAATTAGCCCTCTCCTGGTATTCACACCCTCATTAAACCCCCACTCCCCACTGCCATTAATGTTAGCTGGATTTAGTGACATGTTTCTAGCAAATAGAAAGTTGCAGAGGTGATGGGCTATCCCTTCCAAGATTAGGTTATAAAAAGACTGTGACTTGTTTTTGATGTTTCTCTCTACCTCTCTTGCTCAGAAGGAAGCTGGCTGCCTTGTTGTGAGTTGCCTCCAGCAGTAGCCAGTGAGGGACTGAGTCCTCTATCTTCCTGCCCAAGAAGAACCCAATCATAGCACACCACATGAGTGGGATGGAAAGCAGATCTCACCCTGGTCAAACCTTCAGATGAGACCACAGTTCTGGCTAACACCATAATTTCGACCTCATGAGAGACTATAAGCCAGAGGCACTCCACTAAGCGACACTCAAGTTTCTCACTCCCACAGAAACTGTGAGCTAATTTCCTAACTCATTTTATGAGGCTAGCATTACCCTAAAACCAAAACCATACAAAGCTATCATAAGAAAACTACAGACCAGTGTTTCTCATGAACAAATGCAAAGATTCTCAATATATTAGTAAATCAAATCCAACAGTGTATAAAAAGAATTGTACACACTGACCAAGTGGCATTTATCCCAAGTATGCAAGACTGGTTCAATATATTTTTTTATTTTATTTTATCTTTATTTTTGAGAGAGAGAGAGAGGGAGGGGCAGAGGGAGAAGGAAAGAATCTTAAGCAGACTCCATGCTGGGGTCTGGGGCCTGGGGTTGGCTCTGTGTGTGGGGGGATGGGTGACAGCGTTGACTAGGTCTGGAGCTATGCTCCACTTGGGGCACATCTGAGTTAGTCCTAGAAATCTTTTTTTTTTTTTTTAAGATTATTTATTTATTTGAAAGAGAATGAGAGAGAGATAGAGCACATGAGAGGGGGGAGGGTCAGAGGGAGAAGAAGACTCCCTGCTGAGCAGGGAGCCCGATGCGGGACTCGATCCCAGGACTCAAGGATCATGACCTGAGCCGAAGGCAGATGCTTAACCAACTAAGACACCCAGGTGCCCCTAGTCCTAGAAATCTTTTTAATAAAAATATTTTATTATGCAGAATTTAATAACAACAATGTAAATATCCACGTATCCACCACCTCATTCACTGTTTTTGTTTTATTGAATATTTAACCCGTATAAAAGAATATAGTACAGTGTATGTACAGTTTATTTATTTATTTTTGGTGGGCAGCAAAGCAAGGTTTATTGAGTGATAGCACAAAGCTCCCAAGGAGGGAGGGGACCCGAGGGGGTTGCCCCAGTGTATGTACAGTTTAAAAAATCACAATACAGGGCGCCTGGGTGGCTCAGTTGGTTAAGCGACTGCCTTCGGCTCAGGTCATGATCCTGGAGTCCCGGGAT